CCGAGAGTGAGCCAATCGCCAGTCGCCTGCGGCGCAATAACGGTTAGTTTTCATTATTCTTATTAGTGATACGATTTCCAAAGGTAGGGGTCGTGCTCAGCTCCTTGAGAAGGTCCCGCTCGTGGATAGAGACGCTAAGCCCGCCAGTGGTCGCGCCACTTTTTACGTCCTGAAACGCATCACTATGAAACCGGGGGTTAGGACACGCCTTGCGTTTCGCTATATTGTTTGTGTCGCAATGTTGACCTTCTACGCCCTCTCGACTCGAGAGTTCTTATCCCTCTCCGTGACTCATGATATCTCTCATCTCACTGTCTGCCTCTTACATTTCTCCACACTATAGAGAGGGAATGTTCGTATTCACGGTGTTTTCATGCTTTCTTTACCATTTTTATGCACCAGCGCTCCACTTCGCATCCATACTTTCAAATTCGAGTGGCATCTCCACATCAAATTGATCCTGAGCCTTGCCTTTGGTTTTCAAAGTAGTTCTTCAGATACTTCGTAATCCTGGGAGCTTACTCGTTTCAGATTCGCCACGAGATATAATTGTGGCGGCAAGACGTGCGCCTGTTCGCCTACTAATCAACAAGCCATATTCGAGTGGGAGCAGCGCTGGTACTTCAAACAAAGCGACTTCTTCTGGTAGTGGTAGCGAAGTCCCTTGTCCAGCTGCTAAAAGGAACCGTTGTAACAGTTGGAGGCCCTACCTCGATCTCGAAAAAATGATCAAAGTAAGTCTGGTCATGTCATTACTACTTCATATTTGTCTTCTACATTACGTGAGTAACTGAATCTGAGTTTTTCCAGAATCGCATTCAAACGAACACCTCGCCGAGTGGCGTCAGCAAGAAAGAAACAGCTGCGTCAGGATCACTAGAAGAACAGTACACTTGACGCGTTCGAAACAAATGGCTGCTACCTAACTCAGTTGTGCTCGATGCTTGAAAATTCAGGAAGTGTCGCCCTGTCACCATCGACCATTCGATTTCTCGACGCTGGCTTGCTCAATTAGCGCACGTTCCACGACAGATACTCCTTTTTATGTTACCCTCATTTCATCTTAATCTGGGTGGTGCCCTTGAATTGCGGTTATAAGGAAACGTTGCGTCCGCGCTGGCTATGATTTTTTTACTATGGTAAACTAACACACTGTTCATATGGCCAAAGTGCACTGAAAATTCCTCTGGTCGGGATGTCGACTGATCGAAAACGACTCTGAAAGACACCAAAAAGAATACCTCTAACCATTTACTAATTTCGCTAACTTGCTTCTCAATCCTAATGTGCTTACTGTTTAGTTGGAGTCACTACTCCATGTTTTTGTTTACGTTGTAGTTCCGATAGGGAAATCGGAAAGTGGTGAACGATTCGTCGGCGAGCTGGTGCTCTTTGTTTTTTGTTTATGTTGCAAAATGAACAAAACCTCTAAAAAAATGTTTCATTTACGAATGGTATTTGTTTATTAGAGAGGTTGTCCTGTTATTTTGACGTATGGTTTTGTTTGTGTTGTGGAATAAAAGGCATAATTCAGTAAAGCGTGTAATGTTTTGCGACCGTTGCCAAAGTTTGCCTAAAACACGCCCTTGGATGATTTATTAGGTGTTTCAGAAAGTTCTGTCGTTTTCCAGCCCCTAATTTTAAATGCACGTATCTCGGCTTGGGCTAAACCTTTCGAGTTGATTAAAAAACCATTTGAAAGCGCGAATCTTGTTCTATAAGAAACCGTTCAACAGGGTACGTTTATTTGGAATGCTGGACCTCTGGAGGCGATGAACTGAGGGAAGGTCGTTTTAGCATCATGTTGGTTTTTGATGTATTTCTCTTCAAGGAAGCTATCGAGATCGTCAGAAGTTTGACAGTAGATAGTTCAAGGGTCTACTAAGTAAGATGTTCGCAGAACCACTCTGAAGTTCAGCTGGTACAACTTGTGAAGGGTTGGCCGTGCGATGTGCGTTCAAGACACCTTTCAGGGATTATTTATTTATTTATTTATTGAAAGCGTAGACAAGTCTACGTGATGTAGGCAATCAAAACGCATATAAAACCAAAAACAGACGAAGGCGCACAGAAAATGGCATAATATCTGTGCTAAGAGAGAGAAAAAAAAACTAGCAAAACAATGAGTGGTGAAAAAAAAACATAATAAACACAAGTCAAAGTAAGAGGGAATGCTTGTGTATTTCTTTTATTATAGTAATATAATATTAGGTGTTTCAGAAAGTTCTGTCGTTTTCTGACACTCCACTTTTGGATGCTTTATTTCCCTTGAAATCTAGGAAAGCTGCAATTGATGTTGATATCATTTTGAAGAGCTTTTCCAGCTCTATCCAATGCTTAGCTCAACTTTGTCCTAAAATATTTTCTTATAGCTTTTTCAAAGCTTTGAATGCGGTATACTCGATGAGCAAGTTGGCATGACTTTCTTTTTCTAGCTTTAAATAGACCTGAAAGTGGCGGGAACAGTTCAAGATATTAACGATGCTTTGGGCCTAGATTTGCAATAAATGTGCTCAGAAGCAGTAGTTAAAAAATTTATTGTAACGAAAGCGAGAGCCTTGAATATGATGAGAGTAGTGGTCGGATATCGGACGTTGTCTCCGATTAGCCAAAAGTTCTGATTGAAGCACTCGTGCGTAAGACCATAGAGGAGGTTCTGCCCAACCTGGGCGTATATGGTTTGTACAGCCAAGCTATACGGAAGAAGCTGGAAAGTCCAAAAAATTTGATAGGGGCGTGCCGCGACAAATCACCAATTTGAAGGGTCGTCCATCAAATTGTCGCTTGTTTTATGTGATAAAGCGACTCGTTTCTCTACAGATTTGCGACGTACAATAAAGAGCGGATTCTTCTCTATAGTCCACGAAGCTTTGCTGAATAGATCGACGGCGATGAAGCTCTACAAACTTTGCAGAATTTAAACTGTGCTGGAGGAGGGTTGTGGCAGCTTTCATGGGGTCAGCGGCTGGCCATGTTCTTCAGTATCAGGTGGAACTGTTACAGTGGAGAATCAATCTTTATATTAAGTCAAAAATCATCAAAAACTCTAAGACATGGGTCCAGCATTCCTCATTATAAAGGAACACACACATCCCTGAAAGGTGTCTTGAACGCACATCGCACGGCCAACCCTTCACAAGTTGTACCAGCTGAACTTCAGAGTGGTTCTGCGAACATCTTACTTAGTAGACCTTTGTCTATCTACTGTCAAATTTCTGACGATCTCGATAGCTTCCTTGAAGAGAAATACATCAAAACCCAACATGATGCTAAAACGACCTTCCCTCAGTTCATCGCCTCCAGAGGTCCAGCATTCCAAACAAACGTACCCAGTTGAACGGCTTCTTATAGAAAAAGATTCGCGCTTTCGAATGGTTTTTTAATCAACTCGAAAGGTTCAGTCTAAGCCGAGATACGTGCATTTAAAATTAGGGGTTGGAAAACGACAGAACTTTCTGAAACACCTAGTATAAGTATTTCACTTTGTCAGTGAGCAGCAGGTGAGTCGGTTGGTACACTTCAATATACTAAAAGACTTCGAAAGCTTCTACTTATTTATTTCATTTCAAGCCTGACAAGAAAAGACTTAAGCTTTTGCAAAATATTTTGCACACACACTTTGCAATTCCTTTTGTAAAAAGTTTCGCAGTCTTTTGCAATAAATATTTGGAGTCTCTTACACATTTAGATCAACATAAGACTCCGGAACAGAACAATTCTGAAACAAATACAATAGTTATACTTAGCGACAAGTCCGCGGCGGTAGGGGTAAACAGGCTCCGGTCGCATGCGCCAGTCAGCGAAGAAACACCGCAGTACGCAATTGGCTAAAGGAGGCCACGTTGAGAGATTTTTGCCTGAGTACCGCCGAAAGGTACTTTTTCGCTGCATTGGCACTATTTCAACGACTATAGCTGCTTTCAGGGGCAATTTTTTACAAAAATGGAGCATGCTCGAATCTACGAGCTCTTTTCTTTCCAACAGGTGTAAAACTGTTTGACGAACCTTAACTTTTATACTTACATGTTGATGAACTTGACGCTGAAGGCGTAATCTCACACTGATCCTTTCAAAATTTCTATTTCCCACTGATCCTTTCCTCTTGATTTTTCCCACTTGGAATTCTTTCTCCAGAGAGCCGTAGTTGAAGCGCGCGCAACCAACTGGGCCCACTCTGGGATGCGCCGTGTGCTTCACATCCCTTCATATTGGAGGACTCATTTGAAAGATAAAATATCCGTTGGAAAACGTGCGAATTTCGGATTCTTCAACCTTGTCGTAATAAATCACTGAGGTAGTTAAGAATTACTACGCGGACCCTTTGAATCACGAAAATTTAAGTGGGCAGAATAACAACGTTATTGGAAATCCTCTGGCCTCACCATGGATTCGATCCTTAAGGTCCTCCAACAGTGATGATCCCCCGGTCTCTTCCTTCCAGCGGGCCAACACGACCTCCCCGTCGAAGTGTCGAGGACTCCTTAACGCGTGCTTGACCCCGTTTTTAAGCCTACAAGTGATTTTAAGGGCATATAGCATAGCTATTTGCATTTAAAAGGTTATCAAAAACATAGCCATAGGCAAAAACAAGGGCAAAAATTCGTCAAGTATGGTTGCTGTCAATGACATGTGCCAAACGAGCTTTCATATGGAGCGTCGGCGTACCACTTCCGAAGGCGGTGCACCGGGGCAGTGGACAGTAAGCTTACATTCGGATGGGAAGGTTGAGGTTCTTGGATCAAATTCTGTCGTTGTTACCGTTTTGCATTTTGGACTTACTCTCATTTTTAGGCCCTAGATGACACCAGCGCCAAAGTGGATATCATATTCGCAAAAAGGACCACCAATAACCCTTATAAGAGAGGGATTTTTGCAAATAATGGTGGAAAATGTTGCTGCGCTAAAATGGCACAGAGTGGTCCCAGCGTCAAAAATGAATACTATATTTGTGATTGAAGCAGTGGATCTCCTATACCCATGGTAAAATCAAGATTTCAACGTCACTTTGAAAAAGTCCGCTTCGGGTAAGTTAGGAGCTCATCATGCTCCTGGCAGCGATATGGGGACAAACTCGCAGCCATCCTATGTCGTCATTTTCCCAAATTATGAGACACTCGACCCCATGATGAAGAATTGCATTGAGTCAACCTCCTGCTAATGGCCGGGTGTGTCTCAAGTGGTACGATTGGAAATTTCAGCACCTAATTAGTGCTGCGTCGCGACGAGGTGCGAAGTGACCTCAAATTTTGGCACCTAATTAGTGCTGCCTCGCGACTAGGCGCCAGCTATCTGTGGGCGAGACGCGCCGTACATGTCCATAATGGTGCAAAAGATTGGCGAACAACAATTTCGAAAAGGTTGGACTGGGGAGACTGGAGGGTTGCAGATACAAACGAGGTCGAGGGTTCGTGGTGTTAAGCATCAGCGGTAAACAAAGGTGGTGTAACCTTTTGTGGTTGAACGGGAACTTCTGAGTATGAAGTATGACGGCGACGGTGTTGGCAAAACGATTTCAGGTGGGGCTGGACATACGAAGTATGAAGAGAAGGTGCTGACGGAAGGGTTTGGGGAGGAGGTGGGCCTTCGAAATATGAAAAGGAAGGTGCCGGGGTTGGGGCTTGAGGAAGGCTGAGCTGTCGAGGTAAAAGAGGTCAACAGATCATGGGTCGGAGACTTCCTAAGTCATATGTGAAGGTGTGGAAAGCCACAACTTCTTCAATTAGCCAAGCCGAACGGAAGTTATTGACTTTTGGAAACGTTTCTTGAACTTTCGTTGTCCATAAATTGATGTGTTCACAGGAGTCAGAAGATTGAAAAGTAGTAATAATGAATGAATAATCACATTTTATCTGAAATCACCTTCCTCCCTTCCGCCAATCTTTTGCACCGTTATGGAC